TATTGGTCATTTCTAGGAATCGGTCTGTTCCTGGAGGACATTAAAAGGCTGATTCCAGAACAGGATAAGATCCTCTGCTACGTTCAGCCCGCATTATATCCGATTCATGGATGTTTATATCATTTTCCTAGATGCTGACGTTTGAGTGTGATCCTCAAAATATTAATAAAATATTTCAAATTAATAGTCCTCTATCTGAAGGTACTCAGACTAGGCTGGTCCCGATCCGATATCTGGATCGGATCGGCCGGCAGGAGAAAATTAGCACATTAGCATTAGCATTAGCATCTGTAACCACAGGTCTCTGTCCTAACCATTAAGTTGTTATCAGAGTAAATCCCTGTTCAACATGAGTCTGACAACTAAGTAAGTAGATAAATAACTTTAGACTTTAACACATGCTCTGATAGGCCGGAATCGGATCGGAAGTGTAAAAAGCTGGATCAGGACATCCCTAATTTGAAGGCACCCCAACAAAAAAGGCTAATGCTAATGCTCTGATAACAACTTAATGGTTAGGACACAGACCTGTGGGTTACAGATGCTAATGCTAATGCTAATGCTCTGATAACAACTTAATGGTTAGGACACAGACCTGTGGGTTACTGATGCTATTGCTAATGCTAATGCTCTGATAACAACTTAATGGTTAGGACACAGACCTGTGGGTTACAGATGCTAATGCTAATGCTAATGCTCTGATAACAACTTAATGGTTAGGACACAGACCTGTGGGTTACAGATGCTAATGCTAATGCTCTGATAACAACTTAATGGTTAGGACACAGACCTGTGGGTTACAGATGCTAATGCTAATGCTAATGCTTGTGTGGGATCGGACCTTAAAAAAACAACTGGATCTGGAGTCTGGATCTGTGTTTTCTCCTGCCAGTACCTTCAGATAGAGGACTATTAATTAGTTTATAATAGTTTATTCATATTTTAAGGATCACACTCAAACGTTAGCATATAGGATGATGATATAAACATCCATGAATCAGATATAATGCGGTCTGAACGTAGCAGAGGATCTTATCCTGCTCTGGAATCAGCTTTTAATGTCCTCCAGGAACAGACCGATTCCTAGAAATGACCAATATGTCCGTCTGTGTAGAGTTGAGCTTCTCGTATATTGTAATAAAGAGTTGTCAGACATAAAGGGGACAGCGTTGGATTATCAGAGTCTTTAAGTGGATCCCACCAGCAGATTATTGAGATGACGTCATCCTCTTAAGCTAAAGGCTGCAGCCGGCTGTAATAAGTGGGGGATGAAATCTATACAGTGCTTAGCTTATTTTTAAAATATATTTTTGGAACTTTATTGCCTTAAATGTGGGTTATAAAGCATTTAGCATCATACAGGAGAACAGAAAGAGGCAAACATAAATGTACAAGTGTGTGTGTATGTGTGTGTGTGTGTGTGTGTGTGTGTGTGTGTGTATGTATGTATGTTCAATTCAATTTTAATTATTTAGTTGAATTTACATAGTTTATGTAAATTCAACTTATTTACATAAACTACTTACAATTCAACTTACAATTTACATAGTTTATATAGTTGAATGTATGTATGTATGCGTGTATTTGTGTGTGTGTGTGTGTATTTGTGTGTGTGTGTGTGTGTGTGTGTGTACGTGTGTATGTTTGTGTTTGTGTGTGTATGTATGTATGTATGTATGTATGTATGTATGTATGTATGTGTGTATGTATGTGTGTATGTATGTATGTATGTATGTATGTATGT